AACTAAGTCTTACTAGCTAATAATATATTACGGCTCCTACAACCTATCATATATAGCTTGCGACATTGCAAAATGATCTATCATTAGCTTTTATCAGATGATTTTGCCAATAAACAACCTTGGTTTTATTTTTTAATTAATCTAACCAATTAAATAATTGGAAAACTTATTTTCTCCTTTTATTTTCGTGAACTTTTTATTTTTTATTATTATTTTTTATTTTATTAAAATAATCTTTTTATTCTCCTTTTTAATTATGTTATATTTTGAATCGATCACATTGGAACAGCCTGGGACATTTACCATAATAACATGCTTGTGACTAAAAAATATCGATATGCCACGTTTCAAATAAATTTTGCCAAAATGTCACATCACATTCTAGCTACGCCACCCAGCGAGAATGGACTGGATACGTGGCAGCGTCTGCATGGGAAACCATTCTCGCTGAGCAGCCCAGAGAGAATGATAGGCTACTGGCACGTGACAAAAGTACAGACATTCTCGCTGGGCAGCCCAATGAGATTAGCCACCTGAATAGCTTTTGCAGAAAATGCATGTATTTTTGCCACGTGTCAGCTCCCTGACATCCTCGTTGGCTGCTTAGCGAGAATGGTTGCCATGTAGATGCTGCCACGTGTCCAGTACATTCTTGCTGGGTGGCGTAGCAAGAATGTGACGTGACATTTTGATAAAATTTGATTGGAACGGGACGTACAGATAAATACTATTTATTAGGGGTGTTCATCAACCGATTCAAACCGCGGTGACCGAACCGAAAAATCGATAACCGAAAAATTGAAAAATCGAAAAAAAAAAAATCGCAAATTTTAATTGGATTGGATCAGTTTTTGGATTAGTTGATAAAAACCGATTCAATCCAAACCGATTCAATATATTAATTTTCCTCTACCTATTTGGGCTTTTCCCCAATCATAACCCATAAATTTCTAAACTCAAGACCCATTAACCCATCAATAAGAAAAAGCCTAGTCACTTCTCATCAATAAAATTTCATCTGTGTAGAGCTTCTTCAAATCTCATTGCCAAAAAAAAATTATATTATCGTTTGATGATTCTTTTGTATTTCAATTTTTTTTTTACAAAGTCAATATATACAAAAGATGTTCTTTGCAGAATAATCATGAAACAAATTTTAAAATTTCCGATCCAATCCAAACCGAAAAAAATTGGATTGGATCGGATCAGACTCGAAAAACAATCCAAACAAAATGGATGATTATATGATCAAACCGAAGGGTAGGGGTGGCAAAACGGATCAGCCCGCCCCAACCCGCCGCGAACCCGTCAAAAGTGGGTTGGGTCGCCCCGCCTCTTGAATTTGGGTTGAAATCCCCAACCCGCCCCGTTTTATAGTGGGTTGGCGGGTCAACCCGCTTAAAAAATTAAAAATAATTAAAAATAAAAAATAAATTATATTTTATTAATATTATAATATTACTTATTTTCATATCACATTCCCCTTAGTTTTTTTTTCAATCTTAAATCTAAATGTATGCTAATATTTAGTCAGATATTCTTTACAAACTTGTTTTTATCTCTATACATAAATTACCTTTGTCATAAATAAAATTTTTCTTCTATATTTTTTCTAGAGATTACTAAGATAACAAAAAATTGGATATCATAAACGCTTAAAAAAAAATAAAACACTACCTAATAGTAAAAAAAAAAATTGACCCAGCGGGCCAACCCATCCCGACCCGCCGCCAACCCGTTTTGACCCAAAACCCAACGGGGCGGGTTGAGGCGGGTTGGTGGGTTGAAATATGTAACCCAACCCGCCTCATTTTGACAGGTTGGCAGATTGACCCGTCGGGTTCAACCCATATTGCCACCTCTACCGAAGGGAGTAGATCAGATAATTTTTGATTCCAAAACCGATTCTATCCAGACCTCAAACACCCCTATTATTTATAAGAATGATATGTTAGTCAATATCTGAGGACAGCCCAATGCGTTGACTATTAAGACTCGTAAGGAATTAGTCCCCCTATATTCCTAAATTGAAATACTGATCAGAATGTCACAATTCCCAAAAAAAAAAAACAATTATCTGAATGTTGGGGTTAATTTTTGGGAAAAGTGTTTGTCATTTAAAATGACATAAAGTTATGTCATTTTAAGAGAGGTAGACACAAAATAAAAAATTATTTAAAATTTAAATTAAAAAAAAACCATCCACTTTCTCTTCCATGATTTTTATTCTTTGTATCCATCTCTCTCCTAAAATAACATAATTTATTTCATTTAAAATGATAACATCACACCCTTAATTTTTTTTAACAAACTACCATTAGTTGACAATTGCAACGAGTATGATTTGTCAAGTGTCACGTTTCTTAAAGTTATTAAACTCCCTGTCACGTGGCACATTTTCTGGTCAGGGACACGTGTCTTGTCTTTACAAATTCGCTATTGTTGGGTTTTTTTCTCTTAAAAAAATTAAATAACTTATGAAGATGAGAATATTAAATTAAGAGTAAATATTCCAGCAAATTTTACGATGTCTGTTTTAGTCGCTAGCAAATAAAAAGGTCCATTGTGATTTCTAAGAAATTCAAAATGGACCTATTTAGTTGAAATCATGATCCTTTTCAAATTAAAAAAAGATCCATATTAGTCTCTAAAAGGACTAAAATGGGTCCATTTTGAATTTTTTAAGAACTACGATAAGCCTTTTTATTTGCTAGGAACTAAAGCGGATATCGTGAAATTTGCATAGACAAAAAATGATATTTACTTTTAAATTAATGAAGAGAGAAAATTCAAACTTTTGATTGTTTCTCAATCATCTCCCTAAAATAAAACCGGCTGCATCTCTCTCTTTTTACCGCAGAGAGGAAGAGTTTTTATTGAGAAGTTAAGGGGGCGTTTGGTTCAGAAAAAAAAAATTATCAGAAAAAATAAAATTAGTAGGAATATGGTGGGAAAATGATTTTGGCAAAAAAGTTTTAAAAAAGTTGTTTGGTACGCTAAAATATTACCGGAAAAATGAAATTAAATTTTTTAAGTATATGTTTGGTTGAAGGTAAAATATTGATGGAAAAATCAAATAAAAATTACTAAAATAACCCTTTATCATACTTTATGAAAATTTGTTAATAATACTAAAAATTTTATGACCGTGTCTTTTCTATCTTTTCAGTGGAGTGTGTCTTGCCATTTAGCCAGCTAAGTACAAAATACAATCTTGGGAATGATCTTCTAAACAATGCTTTCTATCTCATTTGCTTCCCATTTTTCAAAAGCTAGGCAAATATATTAGGTGGGGAAATTGTTCAATATGCTTAATCAAACATGAGCCTCCCAAAAGATCAAAGTCAGGTGCATAGAAATTTTTTTCAATCACCTGAATCAAACACCTCCTAAAAGCATTTATAAGGTTTTCATTGAGAGTTTGCATCTCTCTCTTTCCCACCAAATAGGTTTTTATTAATGGAAAATTATTTATCCTTTTAAATGACACAACTTAAATCCTTTCACTTTCACAGAGAGGGAAAGACCCACACTTTTATTTTTTTTTATCAACTCTCTCTCCTTCTTTATAAAAAAAAATACTAATCCCAACTTATATATATATTTAAGCGTAAAGGGGTAGAGTTCTTTGTTTGATACATCACCATCCATCATGACAAGTAGGTGGAAGATGAGTTCTCTTTTTAGCTTTTTTCTATTTTCTATAGGAAGAATTCTCCATGTCCTTATCTGTAAGGGAGAAACCTGTGATGGCTTTCCCTTTATACAATTTCAAAGTGTGTGATACGATAAGATAGTTGTCATTTGGTGAGCGGACAGAATCAGAAGAAGAAGATTCAGAACTGGCCACATTACTTGTTTGGGTAAATTTATAAAAAAAATAAATAAAAAACCTTTAATTTTACTTCATGTGCACCAATAAAAAAAAAAGGAACAAATTGCAATGCATGGTGTCCTTTTATTTTCAACCTTTAGATTTTACAAAGAAGTTTTATATTAATAATTTAACTATTTAACAATTATAAATACAGGAAAATAAGCAAAGGTACAACAATAAATAGGGTTTTTGCCTATTATAGATATTTCTGATTCACATATCCCCCACTAAGTATGATCCTTTAGGACCGAACACATGATGAATATAAAATATCAAACATTTAAGAAAGGGATGGCTGCTATACTTATCCTAACATCCATTAGCCAAAAAATTATCTATCAGATTAAGACATGAAAGCACCTTAACTAGTATCAAAAGTATTTTTAATTTAAGGTCACCAAGTCTAAAATGAGCAACTATGTACGGGGCCCTCTACATACTCAAAAGCCAGAAGATAACAACACATAGCTTTGAATAATCTTTTAACAAAAGTTATGTAGACCCACTTCCATGACCCAATACCATTCTTCCAAATTCAATTATTATTTTCTGCATGTGGTTCCGAGTATGGAAGCAATTTCTATGCCATTTATGGCATGAAGAAGCTTGTGCCTTCATTAATCTCTATGCAAATCCAATCTAAAATTTTAATCATGTTTGCATGTAAGTAAAGTACCCTGAAGTTGAAATAGTACTGTTTTATAAACCCTTCTGAATTCTGATTTGTATGTCATATTCACCCTTAAAGGAAAAACCATTTTTTTTTTTGCTTCATTTCTTTTGACCATGAAATCTTCAGATGCAGGGCTTTTTCAAGCCTTTCACCTATGACTCAAGGGATTTTCTGAGTTTTCTTGTTTTAGTTTGAGCTTTGTTTGGTAGATTTCTTAAGGAGCTACAAACTTTGAAAGGTCAAGTTTCAGCATCTGATTGGTTGAAGCCACAAAAGTTGAATTTGAAGTCATAAATGTCAAACTAGAATCACTATTGGTCATGGGTATTTGCTATGTTCTTAAACTTCTAGAAAGTAGTGTTTGGAAAATTCCAATTGCCTTTGTTGGTGTAGAAGCTCAATTGAGTTTAAAGTAAGAAAGCAAAGGCCTTTAAAGTGGTTTTTGGATCAATGGTTTCTTCTGTGTTTACCCTTATTTGTGTTCTTCATTCTGCAATAGCTCTTACTTGTGGAGCTCTAATGATATTCTACTCCAAAGAGATCTTAGTGTTTGGCCATGGATTAGAGACTGCAAGCAAGCTTCAGGGATCAACACCCCATGATCAGTTACTGATTCAAACCTCTGATTCCTTCTCTGGCTTGCTGTTGTTCACAATTGGGTTCCTTCTTTTGATGGTTTCCCTTGTGAAGGACAAAGAGTTTCAAAGTTTCTTTGCCAAAGGGTGTGTGCTACTTCACATTTCCATGGCAGTATGGAGATTCTTCTTTGAAGGGAAGCTTGAAGATCTTGCACATGACTGGCCAAGGTATGCTGTTGGGGACATTGCATTGGCCATTTCATGGGTCTTCTTTCTTGTGTTTTCATGGAGAGAAAAATATGATTAGTTTTTTTGTAGGCTTTGGTGTTTTGTGGAAACAACATGGGTAATAAATGTTGATTTGTTTTAGCTTGTGGAAACCAATGTTTTGATGCTCCACAACTTAAATTCTGGGTTTCAAATTTTCAATTGGCCTGTGAATGCTTAAATTCTCAAGATAAATGGAGAAGAGAACCATTGTATGAGTTATTGAAAGAGAGGATGGAATAGTTTGTTGGGTCAACTTCCTAATTCTGAGGTGCATAGATTCTGTGAAAATGAGATTATTCAGGATCTGGGTTGGCAACTTTCCTTGATTGCTTCAATTTCAAACTTTGAAGTCATTAGTGTAAACTTATTTTCTGCTTTGGCTCCTTAAATTTTGTACTTTTTCTTTTTCTTTTTCTTGGCTTCAAGTGTAAAAGTTTTGAATGTAAAATTTTCTGTATTGCAATTTGCATCCATAACTTAGATGCAAGTATGTCAATCTGGCATATTGCTGTTTTTGATGACTAGGGAGGTGGCATCATCATGGTAAGAAAAATACAATCTTTTTTCAAATTGAGAGACAATAACAAGAAAATTTTCTCCTCTGAATGGGTCAAGTAATGTCCTTTTGGATGTTGATGTGTTCTTTTTCCTTTCCCTTTTGTTTTATCTTCTCTTTTATCTAAAGTAGATGCTCTCATGTTTCAATCCTTAACTTTTTTTGTAGGATAAAATAAATTTGAAGTATATGAATAATGATTTTATTAATAACTTCCTCTTCTAAAGTTTTCATTTTATTCTTAGCTCTTTTTATTTTTGGTTTTAAGTGGAAACTTTATTTTTCAAGTTAAATCAAAATAAATAATTGTTATCCATACACGAGCCTTTATTTGTCTAAAATTTTTTTGGCTGAATAAAAAAAAAATCTAGCTCATTGGTCAAATTGGCCATTATGGTTTAATTTTTAAAACAATGATATGCACCTATGGGAAATAAAATATTATCTCAATTTTACACTATTTGTCGTTTATGGTTATTGCACACAAATTAAGAAATTTTTAAAAGAGACGGGAGAAATGCTAAACCATACTCTTTGACATTATAGGTTGAAATCTCATGCTAGCTTTACGAATAGTGGGTCTAAATTATTGAATGAGACTCACATAATATTTCATCAAATAGCAAAGAGAGTTTATAAAAAATAATGTTAATAATTGCATTCCTCGAAAAAAAATATAATTATATTTGATTACATTATTCTACATATTATCATTTTAATAATGCCTTCCCTCAATTTATTTTGTATAGATGCCAAGAAATAAGAATCAAATTAAAATTTTTTTTATATCTACTCAACTTTTTAATACAATAGATAAAATAAAATAATTCATTCTCTATAACAAAAAAACAGCATATATAAACATAGTGTGTTTAAGGGCAATAATTTCTTAACATGGTGATTCAAAATTTAAGCTAGCGTTATAATTATAAAATCAAAAGTAAATATCCGAATAATCGTATTAGTTCTTGAAATTACGGAACATTACGTTTGTTTTTATTAAAACTTTAAATATTAATTTAAAATTTAATGTTAGATTTTAATTTAATTTTTAACATGCAATTAGATGTTAACTTGATCATTACATTAATTATTATTTTACACTATATGAATAACCAGATTGATGTTACAAATTTTAAAAGAGTAATTTAATCACACATATCTTTTGAAATCATCACTAGGGGTGTAAATAGGCTAAGTCAGCCTACAGGGGCCTATGACCTAGCCTATATTAGGTCAGGCTTAGCCTATTATAAATAGTAAAATAGAACAGGTCTAGGTTTTTAAAAAAATCTATTTAGAAAATAAACCATAGACTTTTTTGTACATGTCGGGCCTATAAGCTTACAGGTCGGTCTATATTATATTATTTATTAAAAATATAATAAATAAAACTATTATTTTAATAATTTTGAATAATAAAATAATATTATTTTAGTTATTTTTTTAATTGTTAAATATTTAATAGGCTTAAACAGGCTGACAGGCCTAGGTCAATACTTTTATTTTTTAAATATAGGTCAGGTCAGACTTGTAATTTAGGCCTACACAGGTTAAAATTAATTTTACACAGACCTAGCCTATTTAAGTCAAAATCTAGCCTAATCTAGTCTATTTACACCTTTAATCATCACTTAATCTAAAATTAATTTTAGATAAGTTGTGCAGACACAAGCACTTTCCTAAATTTTAAACGCAAAACAACCGAATATGTAAATGCGTTAATAAAGATAAAATATAAAACTGGATTTTAAATTATTAAAAATATAACGATTTATAATTTTATAAAAACAAATATACAAATCCGTGATCGACTTGATTGGACAATTGAATTATTTGTCCAACCAATGAATCACTCGTTAAAAGTCGGCATATTTGTTGTTGTCTCTTATTTAATGCTATATAGCTTGGGTTCAACTCTTGTGGGGGGATGCATATTCTATAAAAAGAAAGGGTTTTATAAGGAGGATGCATATTCTATAAAAAAAAAATTTTTATAAGAGCTATGTTGTAGGAAAAGTGATTGTGTAATGTTACAGAGAATCGTTTTGCGTGTTGTATTTTTTTTTTCAAAAAGTGTGGACCGCACAAAATATTATATATATAGAAAACCTTGTTGTATCATGTTAAATAACAAATACAATTCCCAAAAAGAAATCAATGGACCGGCTGGAAATCCGATTTCCAAGTCGAATCGGGCGGGCCTGCAAACCTCAAATATATTATTATGAATGCATTAATAAAATACAATTATGAGAAAAAATAAATAAATAAAGATAAAAAGTTTGTTAAAAAACGGGACATCAAATTGTGATAGAAAATAATAAGATCATAATTAAAGAATAATTTAAAAGGAAATTAGAGTTATAAAATATAATAAGGACAAAGATTGTGTATGTCAATAAAGAGAGAACAACTTATCCACCAAAAAAAAAAAAACAATATCTTTCTCCGTATAAATTTTGGAAAATTGTTTTCTTATGTTACATAAAATAATAAAAAATTTCTACACTCATGTAAAAAAAGATGAGAGAGAAAATATATAAATGACTTTCATTTCTTTATATATGAGTGTAGGAAAGTGTTTTTATCTTACGTAACATAAGAAAATAATTCTCCATGAATTTTCATCAATCTAGGTGAGGAAATTAATTAAGAGTACTTTTGATAATTTTATATGACGAGAAATAAATAAATTTATAAAAAATAAACATTCTTTATTAATTTTTTTAGGAAATAATATCTATTTTTTTAAAGGATATAAACTTGTATCCTTTTAGATCTTAACCGTTGATTTCCGTCCATCAACGGTTATAATTTATTGGATTAAAATTATTAATTAATTAATAATAAATTTGACCCATTAAGTTTGAACCAATAGATTATAATCGTTGATGGACAGAAATCAACAGTTAAGATCTAAACTTATATACTTTAAAAGGATAGATACTTTTTAATTTTTTTGCCTTTTTTTTATATCCAAAACGACATAATTTTATATCAACGGACACAACTTTATATGGAAAAACAATAAACCCTAAAGGGCCGTTTGGTACACGAATTTTTCTCGAATTCTCGAGAAACTGAAATTTTTAAAATTTTAAATTTTTAGATATTATCGTAAACTGAATATAAAAATTATATTTTAAAAAATTGACATCCCGGATAAAAAAAAATTTCCAGTACCAAACGCTCCTGTAAAGTTTCTTGATAAAATAATAGAAAAATGTTAGTAGTAAACCCACTGTAATCATCTTTTTTGTGCGGTCTAAGACTTGGAATAGCAGAGCACAGAAACCTCGTAGAGGACTGTAAGCTCTTTTTTATCTATTTCTCTTCTTTCTTTTTTACTGTAATAAACTTATATAAAGTCCTTTTCAATTTTGTTATATTATATTATACCTCGTTTTCTGCTAAAATTTTCATTCCTGAATACTTCTTCTCGAGTTTATGGGAAATTTTCTACAAGCCCATTTGTGTGCTTGATTCAGAATCAGAAAAAGATTAGCTTTTTTGGCCTCTGGGGCTTTTCCATCTGAACTGCTTGAGGATGTGATGGGCACCATTTTCATTTTTGGGTGGAATTTATAATTAATAGATGCTTTGGTTAATCAAATGTTGAATTCTAATGGTTCATGTAGATATATTTGTATTTCAGTAATTGGGTCTTTTTGGTATTTGATGATCAATCTTGAAGTGCAATTTTTTTTTTTCTTCATATATTTGAATTTTTTTTCTTTTTAAGTGGATATACCATCCTCTGCCAATTGGTTATTTTTGAGATTTGAAAGTTTAGCACTTTAATGGTGGAAGGTGAATTGGATTTAGGTACACCAAACTTAGGTCAAAAGGGGTTCATTTTTTTTCTAGCTCTTCGTCTGGTTATGAAGTTTATGACATTTACCCATTTTTTTCTTAGGTATGGTACCTATCTAGCATTTCATTGGGTACTAGTTATACTTCATAGAATTTAAACATTTATTAAGAAATGAACTTTCAATAAGTGCTTAACAACTCGCCTCTCCTACCATACTCATTAGGGTGGCATAGCAATTCCCTAAAGTTGAAGGTAATGTTTGGTTTAGCTGACATTGTATTGATGCACATCATGCATGAAAGTTTCCATTATACTAATTTTACTTAAGGCATTATACTTGCTTTAGTCTTTCTTTTTATTTGAGTTCATTGGCCACCAACCCAATTAGTTTGAGATAAATGTGATATTGATGTTGATGTTGATGTAATATACTTGCTTGTGTTCCACTGACTTAGTGTTTCTACTTTCTAAATAAATTTCATTTGTTTGTATTCTCAGTGTCCCCTCTCTTGCTACATGTCTATCTGAGTTACAATTATTTTTCCTCACTACTATTATTACTTTGTTCTTTAAAGGATTTAAGACAATGAGTGGTATGCAACTGCAAAGTGCTTCCCCTGCCTTGACCTTACAAGGCTCACAGCAAAGTGAAGCTTCAGTAACCAAGGCAACTGGTGCAGAGTCAAAGCCAAAGAAGAAAATCTGCTGTGCTTGCCCGGACACTAAAAGGCTGCGAGATGAATGCATAGTAGAGCATGGTGAAGAAGCTTGTGCTAAATGGATTGAGGCTCACCGATTGTGCCTCCGTGCTGAGGGATTCAATGTTTGAGATTGGTAATGAAGAAAAAGATAATAAAAAGACATTGGTAGAATAACTCAGTTGATTTATGAAATTCATAAATGGATCACAGTTTATTTCTTTTAGAATTACATCAGGTTGATTGTTGAAATGCTTAATAAATGCAGGGAAATTGATTGCTACATGCAATTCATAATTTATTAACTTATAACTTTTTGAATCAGGAGGTTCTACCCTCTTAGTGTTGTTGAGACTGAAATATTTAAATGAAATGCAAGTTGTTATATCGTTACTTTTTGCTAGAGTGTAGCAGTTATTCTTTTTGTACTCAAATCAATTGATTGGCAGATAGGTGCTGTTTATCTATAACTCCCTTTACCCTTCTTTGCTTCCCCTTTTCCCTGTTATTCCCTCAAGTTGAGGGGCAAGCATAGTTATTTTAGAAATCTAAAGATGCAGAAATTGTCAATGCTTCTCATTGTTCTCTCCTTCTTCACTTGATACTTGTGTGGTGATATTATTTTTTCCATTAGATCAAGGAGCAAGGTTTACCATGCTTTTGTTCTGAATCTTGAACCGAATTGTATGCTGGAAAGCATTTGATCAAATTGCATAAAGTATCATCCTTTTGTAAATTTTGTTAGGCCTTCCACACCTAATCACAAATTTGAAAGAATCAGACAATTGTTGACTCCATCCTTTTGGCATATAGATGAAATCTTATACCCCTCTGTAACCATCTCAAATCTTGTATTTGAGTCATACTAATTATACTGAACTTCATACTGGTTACCATGTTTATACAGTAGAAATTTTCATTCTGTTCTAAATTACATTCTGAAAACCACGATCTGTCTTCAGTATCTTTAGACAGCTCTTTTGGAACTTAGAAGTGTATTGGTTGAGCAATATAGGTTGAAAATATTCTAAAAGCTGTGCTTTAGCAACTGATTCATTTGGTCTATAAGTTAAGGCAATGCAAATCATCTGCAAGATGTAAACGAGCATAGGTAGTATGTGAATGATAAACAAAAACCCTCAAAGCAGTTCTACTTCATTGGTTATCTTTATATGTGCACTTATTACCTGCTTTCGTAACAGTTAAGTACCTTCCCTTCCTGTTTGTCCCATTCACCTTGAGTTCATATGTATTTCAAGTCCGGTGTATCACTATTTTTCTTTCAAATTTGAGTCTGAGTTGTTCATGTAGATGCCATGTCCATTGCAGCGCAAAAGAGACTATTTAACAGAGAGGTATACTTATTTTAGTCCATTTAAGAATAGAATGCCACAGCCATGGCTGTTATATAAGTATGACAGGAACTGGACATGATTCATAGTGCATAGCTTACACAAACATGAAGTACCATAACAGCACTCACATTTATTTAGTAAAAGATTACATTATTAGGTGGTTTGTATTGCCAAGCACATGGCAATTACATTTACATATATTCCTTAATGGCCACAGGTGCAGTTCACACAAGTGCAGCCAGCACCGCACTTGCACTTCCCATCATGCTCAGCAGCTGGAACATCCATGACAACAGTCTCGATGTAGCTGGAAAAAAAAAATGGACAGTGATAATAAGTTCTTTTTTTTTCATGGTTTAATCTGCTGACTTTGCATTATGAGTCCTGGAATGATTAGAGACCTTAAAAGCATTGAAAAACAAATACAATGGACACCAAAATTAAAATTTTACCTCTTCTCAGTCTCTATGATGTCAACACCATAGCTGTTTCCCTTCCTGAATACCATAGCATATGAGGGTATAAGTAAATCAAACAGCTTTAATGGGGTATCATGCAAGTTATATACCAGAACCAACTTTGTCAGTCTTCACTGTTTGATAATATACTCCACTATACATTAATCCTTTAGAGATCAAATAAGGTGATTGAAACTGTATATGTAGTTTTTATTGTACACACAAAGAAAGAAAAGAAATGAAGCACCTACCCACACTGACTCTTGTCAGCGCAGTCGCAGCTGTCACATGAGCTTGACATGTTTTGTTTTTGTGGAAGAAAGAAAGGCACCAGAAATTAACTTAGCTGTAGAACTCAAAGCTTTGTATGCTGCTACTATGCCTCCAAGCTCTGAACCATGATCCACTATTTATAGTGGAAAAAGGAGCAAATCTTAATGGGGTGGTAGCATTGATTGGAGTTCATCTTTTAGTATGGTCCTCACAAGGCACGTGAGGGATGGGTCCTTTGGAGAATTGTTATCTGAAGGAATCTAAGTAATGGAGGCTTGGCCTCCTCTGCTCCTCTCATGTCAATTTTATTTGGTTCTTGGAAGAGACAGTCACGTATTGATATTCTGAGATTCCAGTACTTTTTTGGTTCAATTTTGTTATATCTCTTTTAGAATATAATGACAATTGATAACACGTTACCATCATATTTTGATAGATTATAAACTACTTTATTCTGCTTTGAAGTTAGCGCTCTTTCTTTGCCATACTTTTTAGTTATCTTGCACTGACATTGACACCGATACTGGCACCAGTACCGCTACAGACACGGGACACGATATCACACTCGATACGTTAATTTTAAAAAATGTTAGATTTTGGCATGTTAGGACACGTTTTGATATTAAATAATATTTTTAATTTATGTAATGTATTTTATATTTAATATTCAATAATTAAAAAAAAATGAAGATAGACATATAATATCTATCAATTTTGGAAAGAAACATAAGATAGTATAAATATTTATATTAAATTTAATAAAATGGTAATAATAATCCAACGAATCTAATAGTTAAAACTAAAAATGCAACGCAACACAATCTTTGAATATTTTTTTGAGCCTATACAACTTGTGTTGAAGTGTGAGAATATTAAGAAGTATCGGATACGACACATTAAATTTTTTGAAGTATTGATTTATGGTAGCTTTTAGTTCTCCAATCTCCTTCTCAATACTATTTATTCTGTAAACGTTACATGTCATTAGGTAGGAGGTCTCAGCGAAATGGTCCCCAAGATTTCCAATTAGGAGCTCAGCTTGTCTGAAAAATATGGGTTCTTGTCTTTGGGTTAAAAGTTTAGATACACAAGAATTTAGTGTCACTATCTATATATTCGGACAAGGTGGATGTTGTTTCAAAATAAAGTGGATTTGTCTTGCAAAATTTGTAGCGGTAAAAAGGGTTAGTTTTGTTATGAGTATGCCTGTTAAGGTGAGAATTTTGACAATCGTCATTCCCTCTCCACTTCTTGTGGCAATAGTACCACAGTAATTCAAACTTAGTGCCTAGTTGGCGTGTTTTATTTTTACCTTTCCTTCTCTTTGAAAATAGAAGTTTAGCCAGAATGATTTTATAAAAGCTCTTATTATAAAAAAAAAAAAAATTATAATAAAAAAAAAGCTTAACGTTAAAAGCTTCTAAAAGGAACTTTTTTTAAAGATGTATGTTAGTTTTTTTGACTCATATTTATTTTACAATTTCACTCTTATTCTAAATTTGTATTTATAAATTTTATTTTTTACTCTAATAATTCATACTAATAATAAATTATTTTATCTTCCCTCCTTTAAAACCATCAAAATAATTTTATATAATCACTAAATAGTTTCTAATTTTATATTTTAATTTTTTTTAACTTTAGCTTAAAAATAATTTTTAATTTAAAAAAAAAGTGTCAAACATACTCTTATTACATTCTCAATATGAATACAAATAATAGCTCTTATTACATTCAAAAAAGTGTCAACTTTTTCATGTCAATTTTCAAAATAAATTTGCTTTGTTTGTTAGTATGGCTTCATGAGGGTGTATAATGCCGAAGCAATACTCTATTGGCCAAACAGAAAGAAAGACTGAAAACAAGGATTGTGAGAGAATACTATTTCTCTTTTTTTAATTTTATTTAACAAAAAATAACCTAATAACAGTAGGGTTCTCCAAGCCTTAAATAGGAGAAACAAGACAAGACAAAACCAAACCAAAAAAGAATCATGCGCAATCAAAGGAGATAACACACACTCAAACACAATCTTAAATAACAAAAAGAAAAATAACTAGCAATTATTGAAAAGCCCTAAACTATGAAAAAGCCCAATCCAAGTTAGTTAGCTCGGGTGCATCATCCTCCCTCGCTAAGAAAAGATTCGCCTTCGAATCTGCTTCGTCTTCATTGATATCAACTTCTTCGGGTGGTAATCCAGGTGGCAATTCTTCTTGTACAATGTCATCAAATTCCCTAATTAAGAGTAGGACTTGTGAATGCAATTCTTTGATATGCTTGGTATGTTCATTTGCATTTGAACTAAACTTCTTGGGGATTAGAAATAATGCGAGTCCTAAGGTAGTAAGTAGACAAAACCAATAGACTATCCCAAAAGGACTATTGCTTGCAATTTGGTTCAACGATTGCATCTGTGATCCGTCGTAGAAAAATTATGCCTGATGTAATATCCAGTCCCATTGCCCCTGACGATATCCAATTAAACTTCTACAAGGAGCTAAATCTTTATCTCCATAGAGCATGAGGTTGTTATGTTTGTTGTGCCCAAATTCATAATATTGCTTGCAAACTAAAGACTTCTTGAATGAAGGATCATTCAGCATGACATCTTTGGGTAGAACTTCTGCTTTGTTAGACATATTATAATTTCTATTAATCAACTTTCCACCGAAATCACTATAAGAGATTTCTTCCGCCTCTAGATTATCATCGTCTTGCTCTAAATTATACTAACTCGTCATAAACTAGAGCATCCATAATAGGATTAATCATCATCTTGCTCTTTATGGGATTCATCATAGATAGGGACCTTATAATAGAATGGATACATTGTTCTTCTCTTCTTTGGATTCATAATAGACAGTGACCTTCTGGTCTTCTGTCAAGTCTCTGGTGTCAGAGACCCTTTCGACGGTGTGTAGCCAGTCGATAAACTCATCTAGATGAGTGGTGCCCTCGAATTCCAGGATTTCAATCTTCAACTCACTTTTAGCAAAAAAGGATTTATTGTTAGCTTGACTTTGTCCTTGTCGCTCCTAGTTCCAGAATGAGTTTTCGCTCCTTTCCTCTCCATGAGATGATCTTTCAGACTCTCTTCCTTCATCTGACTCGTCCAACTGGGTTTGGGAAAGTAGTTGTTCGAGCTCCTGAATTTGTCTATCTTATTCTGCCATTGCAGCTACGATTATGACGTCTCGCACGTAGATGTGTGGTTGTTCGCCGTCCCCGTTAAGGGTGTTACCACGCCGTCACCTCGATCCCGTCATCCACGATCTCGACCTTGACCGTCATTGTTCTGTTCAGCCATTTATATGACAACCAGAGCTCTTATTATCAAATAATGCCGAAGCAGTACCATATTGGCTAAACATAAAGAAAGACTGAAAACAAGGATTGCGAGAAAATACTATTTCTCTTTTCTTAATTTTA